CACTCACCAAGGCTGTCTCACGGACAAGATGGTCCTTGTTGAAGCAAGGAAGGTTAGCACAAAGGTGCGATGTCTGGAGAGCTGGATCGACCTTGTTGGTCGGATCCTTCGCCAGCCATGCAATCGTATGCAGGCGATATTCGTATCGCTTGCTGGCGTTTCCGGGCCTGACGCTCACTACCGGGTAAGCTTTCTTGTGGAGAGCGGGTTTGTGAAGCCGACACCCCCTCTCATGCGTGCTAGCCAGCCAGCCGATCACTGTGCAGAGTTAGTTCAGCACATGAGGCAGAGGACATGCTCGCTACTTACTACTTCGCAAGGATTGTGACACACTCCTCGTATGTCAGGAGGTCCCACTTATTGACTTTCTCGTTCTTGTTGACGGTCTTGGGCGTCTTCCGGGGGAGGGGGGGTGCATCCTGGGTCGTTGATGAGGAGGTTTAGCAAGGTCACAGTGCTGATGACTGATTGGGGTTGAGGCGTGACAGGGGGGATGGTCGGATATAACAGTGCGGGAACTCGGATCCACTATGTTGAATACACGGGGGCTGCATGTGGGGCGATACAACATCACTGTTTAGTTGAGAGAAGTCTGGGTGAAAGTTGCTCGCTCCTTCTCGATCCGATCTCCATTAACAGTCCATACGCACTCGGTCGCGCAACGTATCATCGCGTATCGTAGCCCTCTGATCGCAAGTTGCTCCCCCCTGGTCGATACTATCCCCCTCGCCATCCAAGAGCTCAGTCCTGCTTCTCCCTCTCCTCCTCCACTCGCTTACTAGGCCTCGGTTCCAACCCCAGCACAGCTTCCCCCTCCTTCCTAGCACTCACAAGCACAACCCTAGCACCCGCCCACCTCCAGCATGTTACAACATTTGCGAACCCCGCCCACGCGCCCCCCCGGCTAGCAAGATACTTCCCAAACCCGGGAAAGACGCTCGGGGTGACATCCTCGATCCGCACGTCGGTGAACCCGAGTCGCTGCAGCTGGGACGTGTACTCGCATTCCTGGACGAGGTTCGTGAGGGGGACGGACATAAGGGCTGCGAGCCCCTCGCGTGCTGCCCGTTGTCCCAGACTGGTCTCTTCCGGAGGAGCGAAGAGAACGTCGGCGAGTGCAAGTGTTCCACCTGGTGCGAGGCGGCGAAAGGCCTGGGAGAAAAAGGCCGCGCGGGGGGAATAGTGGTATGCGCTGTCGATGGAGAGGATGCTGTCGAACAGCGGGAAACTGGAGTCCCAGTACAGGGGGTGTTCGTGTTTGCCTTTTGCGTAGTGACCGAATAGTACCGGCGCGAAGAGGGGAGGACGGGAGATAGCGTCGCCCTGGAAGAGCCGGACGGTGGTGGATGAGGAGGGAAGGGCGTAGGTTCGCAGACGAGAGTGAGAGCGCGTGTGTTGCTCGGCAAGGGAGGTTATACCCACCAGGAGGGAGGGTCGAGGAACGCTTGGATGCTGGAGATGAAGGAGAAGAGAGTCGCCTGTGCCATGTCCAACGTCTGTTTACTGTCAGTCTAGTAGTAGGAGAGGAGGAGGAGGACGTACCGAGTACCTTTCCTCCTTTCTTACACCTCCCTGCAGCGATAACACGCAACGCGAGTGCCTCTGCTGCACGCTCGAAGCCAGCCCTTCCAGGCTCCCATAATCCCATGTTCCCCCATTCCGCACCGGATTCGTTCAGCTGTACGTGGTGCAAACCGTATGGCTCTGGAAGGTACTGTCTCCAAGCGACGAGGCAAGCGAGTGCAGCAGCTGCAAGTCGGAGTAGTTTTGGATATTCGGGTGGGAGGAGTGCGGGAAGTGTGAGTGGGTGGAGAATGGATATTGTTGGAGTAGAGAGGTAGGCTAAGAGGGTGGGGAATTCGAGAGAGAGTGGGCTGGGATGTGTGTGTTGCTTGAGCAGGGCGAGGAAGGCGTACGCTGTGAGTATATTGAAGAGTGCGGTGATGAGAACAGTACGGTGTACGCCTAGTATATAGTATGCTGCCATTGAGAGTGAAAGTGAGCAAAAGAGATTGTGCAATGTTAATGAACAATTTATGGAAAGAGTAGTGAAGAGTGGGCGAGTTGTGCAATGGTATCAATAATTCATGGAATATTTACATCTGTTCGGTCATCATACCCGCACACTCTGTTCATCAGCGACCACCACAACATTCACTATCAATCAGTACACCATATCAATTCAAGCCTCAACTACTCGTACAAGTCGGTCGTATATTCTCATCAGAAAATACAAAGACAAGAAAAATATCTCCCGTCTCGAGGACTCATCTCTCACAAGTCTAAAAGCTTTTCTCCCCTCTCTCAGTATAACATGAAGTTTATCTAATGTCATTAGTCCTAACTATCTACTTGATAAAGAATACTTCGACAAATCTATCGCATTATGAATAACTATACAACAATCATCCTCTTCTATCCCATCCGACACTTTACAATACCTTCAATTTCTCCCTCTCCTCACCTTCTGTCAAGGTCCACCACCCAAGCCTTACAACATCTTCCGCCATCCACCACCCCACCTTGGCCCCTTCCCACCCTACCCGCACCGCACGGTGTACTTTCTCCAGAGTCCACGTCACTTGCCCAGCTTTCATCCTCTCCTGGCCTTTTACTCCCTCCCACTGCCGCTCCCGCGCATGATCAGAGCGCGTGGTGATCCCCCGCACCACCAGTTCCGCACTCTTCACACACCCTTCGAGCAGGGGGATCCCCCCTCCTACCCAACTGCCCACTAGCCATACCCCCGCCCCTCCCCCACCCTGCGCCCGTCCATTCTCCACCTGCCGAGCCCATTTACTCCTCGTCACATTCAGCACGTCCTGCTCCAGCGCACCTTTCGAGCGCACATCCACGTACGCCCTCGCAAACACCGTACGCGAGAGCACGTGTTTCTCGGGGATAGAGAGTGAGCGCAGCGGGAGCGGGTTCGTTGTTTGGAACACTCTTGGTTGGCTTGGGTGCGTACCGTGAGGCAGGGGGACGACGTGCGTGGCCATTATGGGCTGTTTTTCTGCTCCGGATTGGGCGGGGCCTTTCCCAGGAAGAACAGAGAATGTTACTAGGTTCAGGTCTCGCTCGTCTCCCTCGTCAGAGGGAAGTAGGCCGTTCCACGTGTGGGTGACGACTTCTGCCCTTGCTTGGGGGACGGAGAGCGCTGTTTCCCTGAGTGCGCGGATCTCCCCTCCCTCGGAGTCGGAGAAGAGGAGCCCCTCGAGTAGAAGGGCGGCGACGGACGGTTGGGTGGCTAGGATGACATGATCGTACTCTCCTAGGCTTTCGCTCGAGGTGCAGAGGGCTGTGAGCCTCGAGCGCCAGGAGTGGGAGAGCGAGTCGACCGCGCTCGAGAGATGGATCTGCGAGCTGGGGAGGGTGGTCGTGAGCGCACGAATCACGGCTGCCGACCCGCCGGGGACGGTATAGTGGTGCGTGCCAATAGTGAGGTAGATGTACTCTGTCGCCATCGTTAGTAGTCGCTAACTGGGTCGGGGAAGGGCACGCACCGAGTATCTCTTCAGCAGGATACCGCCATACGTCCTCAGTGGAGCAAGTACAGACGGCAGAAAAGAGGGGAACGACAATCTCGTCCATTAAGTTATCCCACTGCTTTCCCGCTCCCGTCCAGCGCAGGAGCCAGCTCCTGGGGCGCACCGACTCGCTCCATTCCCTCAGGGTAGTGTGCGGGTCTGGCCGGAAAAGGGGGAAAGAGAGGAGTAGGATGTAGATGTTGAGCACCAAGAGCCAGAGGCAGGTCGCCGCGAAGAGGGAGAGGTTGTATGCCGCACACCGGGACCACTTGAGCAGGGACTCGGGGTCGTATGCCCTCAGTTCTGGAAATCGGAGTTCCGCAGGCAGGCCGAGCCCGCGCCGCCCGTTCGCACCATTATGCAACAGCTTTGTGCGTAGCCTTTCTCTCCCCTGCTCTCCCTCCCCTTCCGCAGGCAGCAGCGCAAGAGGCGAAACGTAGCTGAAGGAATAGGAAAAGTCCTTTGCGACCGGCTTGAGCCCCAGCTCAGAGTAGAGCGCCATGAGACGGGCGTAGTAACCCCCTTGGAAAGAACGCATCGGCACGTCTATATGCACTTGTTCTGTCCGTACTTCCCCGTTGTCGGAAATAGGGATGGGAAGAATGACAGAAGCAGAGTCCATGCCTATCTCTGCTGCCTGCGCCTGTTAGCGGTGTGCGGGTGCAACAGGGGGGAAGGGCGCACTTGTTCGAACAAATGGACCTCGTACGCCCTGCTGGGGTGGGTGTTGAGTTTGTACGCGGCTGTGAGACCTGCCAGGCCTGAGCCTATGATAGCTACTTTGACCTTGGCATGTGTGTCGACGGAGTGGTCGTCGTCGTCGATGTCTGAGGGTACGAGGGTAGGGGTTGTGTTGCCTGAGTGGATGGTGGATGAGGGTGACATGATCGATGTATATGGGGTAGCGAGTAGTGTGTGTTGAGGGTATTATAAGGCTCACTGTTCAGGTACGATGGTAACCGTGCTAGTGGAATGATTAATTGTCGCCCAGTCTGATAGTAGGTAAAACTGAATAACAACGGGGGGAGGCCGATGTAACTTGGCCCACTTTACTAGCCGGCGGGCCATTGCATGGTGTCCCCAGAAGAAAAAGAAATTAATGTCGCGTCATGGATGTTCTAACCGTCGATCAGGGTCCTGTCGCGTGCATTTATTATTTCAGTACATCAAATCACTAAATCAGGCCACCCAGCACAGCATCCAAGAGGAAGAGAAAAAGGACCGACTTGTCCTCCTCCACTGCCTTTCGCCCGTGTGATGATGAACTATAGGCAGGACGACTGGTTGATACCTTCGGTGGAGTAGGATTATTCATTCTCTGAGCGAGACACGCACCGTGCGCAGTTCTGTTGAAAACAACTCACCTGCAAGTGGCTCGACCACAACCGACGTAACAGTTGTCGCCAAGCCTTCTTCTTCTAACGTTGCCCGGCCAAATGCCCGCCTTGCCCGATCTTCGGCCCGCGAATCAGAGGACCAGCGACCGTTGGAGAGGATTTAGTTAGCCGGCCTGCACGAGTTCAGTAGGTTCTGTCCTAGTGTGGAGGTATGAGGTCATCCATCATATTTCGTCCTCCAACAGTCACCATCCCTTAACCATCACTCCAGCCTTCCATCATCCATCATCCTTCTTTTGACGGTTGCACCGCGAACGTCCCACGTCTGCTTATCACCCGCAACTTACAAGCACCAACGTGTCCAACAACCGACTGCTGCGGACTCAGTGAGGTATCATCCTGAGCTACCTCCCTGTACGCCGGAAATACCTCCCTCTCGTTGCTGCAGCGCTATTGGCAGAGGAAGCTTGATCTGGCCGCAGTGGATGTGTCTCCCGCGCAGCACACAATCTCCGTGGGCTATTCGTTCCTCTGCTGTCTACTTCCTCGTAGTATCAAGTACTCTTGGTCACCCGGTCGGAACAACATCTCCTCGTTCTGGACGCCATTCTCAAATTCCTCCATCGCCGTCTTCCACCTCCGTTCTTCTTATGTCATCGTAATCGCTGGAGAATCCCTTTCGCGTGAACGACCAGCCTCGGTCCTCTCCGGACTTCGTTCCAGCGCTCCCTCGTCGAACCGGATGCTCCAGATGGCAACTCTCGGCTCGAGATTCTAGAACTGTCGTCGCAAGCGCTAGTAGGATGTTCTTACCCGCGGGTTGACTTTCTATCATGCTGCTCACTCGCGGTTCTGCGATGACTCATCCCTGACCGCCGTCCTCTTGAGCCTCATTGGTCAAGGGGGTTCCCGCGCACTTCTTCAATGCCTGCTTCATCCAATATGACTCCCGCTCCGCCTCTGGCTCTGTTAAATACCCCGCTGAGTTTCCATTGGCCTATTGCGTAAAATTGCCAATGCACAGGAGAGATTTTACTTTACCATCATGTGCTGCCCCTTGTATCTCTATTCTATAATTTCTCCTTGTCTATGCGTCACTCTATCATTGACCTAGTTTGCCAGTTCTTTCAATGGCCCACTACCCATATTACGTAACGATAGCCACGTACCTCGGGTTTCCATTGGCGGGATACGAGAGGTTGCTCACACTCTTCGCTGTTGAAGGAGCGAGAATACAGTTCAGAAACCAGGTTAACCATAGCTACGACCACGCGTGAGAGGTCCTTCCGGCCTGGCGAGGGCCAGGGAGAGCACTGGCTATTGTGATAGCTGGGAATACGGAGAAGAGAAGGACGAGTTTGGGCCGAAGCATCATGTTGCTGGGGCGCTTGTGAGACAAAGAGGTTGTGTGGCGTATAGTACTTGCTGTCCTCTCGAGCGAGAAGGAATATTGTACGTGCCATGTTAGGTGCGCAGACCCTAATGGGGAATTGCTTCCACGGAAGTAAAACTTTTCGTTGTCATCTGCGCAGTTCCGGTCATTGTTGGTGACAGTGCGCAGATTATAACCGCGGCTCATTCAATACGCTCTTTTACCGGACTGATATGCACCTGGCAGGCTCCTTGCTTATATATCTACTGTCTGCAGAGAAGAATTCTGAGCTCAAAGCGGTGCAAGAATGGTATCAGATGAGGATATCTGTGAGCGTGACAGACCGGAGATGCAGATGCAGGCAGCAAGGGGATGGTCCAGGGCAAGGGAGTTGTTGAGGGAGAGGAAGAGGAGGGATTAGCAGAGGCATAAAGAGAATCAGTCTGACTCCCAGAAGACGATGAGGCAGAATTAGGTTTCACTCAAGTCGACACAGCAATGGCAGCTGAGGAGTACGGAAATGTGCTTGAAGATATGTTTGCAGACATAATACTGCTGACTAGATACATACCATGCCATGTACATAAACACTGCTGGAAAAGTGCGCAAAGCTATCTCAACGCGGTGACACAGGGAAATTTTGCACAGCCAACGGTGGTGGTGACAGGTGACATGCGCACCTAACATGGCGTGTACAGTAATATACAGTGCCATCCGTACTGTGCGGTGAAGACCAGCTTGGGGCATAGTAATGTTCCAACGACTTCTCTTATAGGTTTTCCTTGACAGAAGGTCGCAGTGCATTGGCATACACCTCGAAGCTGACAGGATGTGTCCGAGCGGCGTCGGGTACAAGCGGAAACGCCGGCGGTGAAGTTATATATACAGGGGGAAAAGGAGCCCCGTAGTCCTGTAGAGCTTATTCCGCCTCTATGAGTATATAGTGCATCTGACGAGGTCAAGCGGTCTGTCGATTCGTTCGGCGATAGTCAAGATGTGCCTCAATTTGTGCGGTGAAAGTAATGCTGTCGGTTGATTCCTTTGGCCAAAGTCAATCGGTCCGCGATTAGTTCGGTGTAATTCAATACGTGGAGAAAAACGCTTTGGAGGTATCATTGAAGTCGGAAACCTGGACAGATCGTAGGTACAAGTTTATCAAGCAAGATCTGAATTGTCCGCCTTCCTGTCATCGGAGATAGAGCCACTGTCTCGGCGGTTAGTTCACTTTGCTCAGTTGACCTCTAATCATTGAATCAACAATTCAACTCTACTCTTTTTTTTTCTTGTTGCTTGTTGTTTTCTCATCATACAACTCCTTGTAACATCTGTCTGGAAAATCAATGTCTACACAACCAAAACCTCGCCGTCTACCCCCACAAGCACCGAGCAACCCGACCCTCGCTGCCGCGCTCCAACAGCGCTCAGCGCCAGTCGCTCAAGCCGCCAGTGCCTCTCCTGCTGGACCATCGAGCAGCACTCCCACCGCTGTCGGGTCTGTACCGTCTGGGACTACCCCTGTTACATTGGTGCAGGGAACGCCGGTAGAGCAGCCTTCGGTGACGAGTGCACCTCCCGCCCCTACGACGGTCGACGCGCCTTCCACTTCCCAAACCGCACCGCTACCGATAGACATCCCTTCCCCCGACATCCCCCTGCACACCCAGACCAAACCCCTCATGTCCGACGAGGTGGACCGGCTTGTGATGGCATTCAAGGCCGCCGCCTTGAGAGCAGGGGATATCATGCGGTTCCAGAACAATGTTCGACGCCTGTGAGTCCAATCCCTCCTGGCTGTCGAAACGAGTCTGATTCTATGATCTGTTTAAAGAGGGGTAACACAATTTGTTACACAAGCACCGTATGCGCTGAGCAGTTGTCTTGCGAGGGAAGTGGACAGGTTCGACGAAGCATGTGACGAGATTGAGGCTGCACTCGTACGCCAACGTCCTCCTCCTCGCAACACATCCTAACGCCAGGCAGCTCAAGTCCTACGGACTGATATACGCGGAAATCCAGCGACGGAAAGAAGCGGAACATGCTGCTCTCCTCCCCCCTCCACGCGTCTCTTCCCGTGCAGCTACCACCCCACCGCTCACCGCAACCGGGCCGCTGCTCTCCCAGCCCACATCTCCACGTCCCGCGACGTCCGACCGTCCCCATCCACCCCCACTGAACACCCGACTACCTGACTACCCCCAGCGTCCCTCAGCATTCCCAAGACCAAGTGCAGTGCACCTCTCCGCCCTTCCCGCGTCTACGCTCGCTCCCGGCCCCTCTGCCCCGCAGCAAGGAGCGGACGGCTTCCCTCCCGGCACGGGAAGGCTACACAACCACCCCGGACTTTCGCTTGACCTGTCCTCAACAAAGCTCTTTGGCCTCCAGCCAGAACTCGTCTCTCCTGTCACGCTTGCGCCTAAGCGCGCCGGTGCAGCTCAGAGCCCGACAGGACAGATGCTCCCCCCCGAACTGCTGTCGGCACTCCAAGGTGTGGGAGGAATGGTGGATCTCTCCACAATCCAGGCGTTGCAGATGCAGATGCAAGTCCCGCAGCTTCAGATGTCGCCGCATGCGATGGCGTTGCAGCTGCAGATGAGCCCGCATCAATCCCAATCCCAGCTGCCTGTCCATGGGAGGGGACTCATGAGCCCCGCACGGATCGAGCATGAGCAGTTGGGGATGGGGATCGACTACTTCCGGCCGCCGCAGGAGGGGAGCAGACCTGGCTCTTCCGGGGCTGGCGAGCTGGGACCCGTGCAGGGTGGAGGGATAGAAGGGATGGACCTGGACTTTCTTGACATGCCCGGGCCAGTTCCGCCCATGTCAGAAGCGAGGGAAGAAGTTGGGGTCTCTGGCGTACCAGGACTCGGAAACTACGAGCCGAGAAAGGACGGGGCGGGGATAAACATACTCGCTTCTCTTGGAGAGGCTCCTCCGCAACCCGAAACAGGCGCTCTCCCTTCCGAACAAGCAGAAGCCCAGCCGGAGGGACTCGAAGATCTGGCCAGTATCGATTTCTCTATCCCAGGCCTGGAGGATGGTGAGTTCGCACAAGACGGATCAGGCCTTACAGGAACAGGAGGAGGAGATATTCGAGGGGTAGAGGGAGATATCAATTTTGACTTGGACGACTTTCCGGAACTGAATTTCCCGGGCCTGGGAGAGGGAGAGGTTGATTTTGAGGGCCTGGGCGATCTGGAGGGGTTAGGGTTGCGAGGCGGGATGGAGAGTATGGATAGGGGAGGAGCGGGGATGGCATTGGGAGAAGAGGTGGACTTCGGTGCCTTGGGTGCAGAGGTGGACTTCGCTTCTCTCTTAGGCGGGACTGAGGCACCGAGTGTCAACCCTGGCACGGAAGGTGGCCAGCCAACGCAAGCTGTGCCCAAGAAGGACACAGGGATGGACGACGACGGGATGATCGACCTCGATGGAAGGATGGACTTTGACGACCTTTGGGATTAAGCAGTTTCGGCGTGCATCGAAAGGGGCTGTCATCTACATATATATCCTGGGCAACAAGGTGTATTTTACGAAGCGCGTTCCGCAGTGCCGGTGTTCAATGAGTATCTTTCTTCCGGTCTGAACACATGGGCAATACACGCGAAATCTCACAACGGCGATATGTACAATGGGCCCCATTCTGTGCCTTTAAACTGTCGAGACAGAGACACATCGCGCGATCAACATCATACGATAAACCTCGCCTTCCCACCGCAGCCGTTCTGTTGTGTCCCAGTGCTCAAGCCCTCTTGGGCAGCGAGCATGCAGCTACGACGGGACACTCGCCTTCCGGGAATATGTTGGTCTGGGTCAGAGCACCGGTGGTCTGTACAAAGGCTTGTCATCAGTCCTTGTCTCACCTCCAGGAGAAACTGCATACAGCATTGTAGTCACAAGAAGGGTCAACCGGACCAATTCCCGAGCCAGGAGGCAAGGGAGTGCCATAGAAGCAAGCAATGCTGTCAGTATTGTCGAACTCATGCGCCAGAGGATCGCCGTGAACGGTCTCGCTGGGACACTTGTATGTTCCCAGACAACCGACGCGAGGCAGAACCGTGCCGGTTGCAACGGTGCTGAAGAGGCCGATGAGGGCGAGACTGGAGATCAAGGCGAGTTGCATGTCTTGTACTGGGTTGTGTTGCGGAGGTGGCTGGAAAGCTGTTGGAGACGTCTCGCAGTCTCTTGTCAGTATTTATACAGAGTGCACAACTCGGAACGCCCACAGAGCGGAAAGATCATGGACGTGTTTCTCGACGAGATGGAATCATCCCCACATCGAACACGATGCGCCTAACTCGGCGCATCGGTCTGCTGAAGCTAACAAACATGGGCTCAAGGGATGGCCGATGTTTCAGTCGCCTTCTGTTGCAAAAAGCGCCGCTTCATAGATGAACAGAGACCTATACTTGAGATTATCTACATCGCAATGAAATAGTAGGGCACTGAGTATTGTAGAGAACGCTACGCATTGGAGTCTGACGAAGAGAGCATGCGTGAGTGAAACGGGATCGTCGTTGTCAGAAGACGCCTGGAAGTTGCTCCTAGCAAGCTCCCACGAGACGGAGCATGCCTGGTTAAGACTAGAAGCTCACGGGCGCATCAGTTCGTTATGAATTACGATCCGGCGGCATCGGTTGATCCATTCATGCCCGAGAGCTCGTCCGAATGTGTTGCCCACATTTGCGAATCGGAGACCTCAAGCGGAAGACAGGTACACAACGTAGCGGTGGCCTATGGAGATTTGATGAAGTCCTAGAAGTTGATGATCATCCGAGGTAAGGCAGTCCCGCAGCGAAAAAGAGGTTCGGTAGAAGATCAAGGTGCAGAGAATGCCCAAGGCTCGATATGTAGCCCGAGTTATCGAAAAGAACGTAGATATGCTGGTATGGCCGGCAGACTAGAGTTACGGGCAAGCTCTACTCGATGTTGATCCTTTTGATGATCTTGACATTCATGTTCCATAATCTTGGTCGGAGACGGAGCAGGACGCTGTGATCACCATAATCCAATGGAGTGCATCTATGCTGATTGACCAACTTGAGGACCCGGAATTGTAGCACAGGAGGAGCATACTACAGCACAATATTCCTGCGTGTTCTCGTCGGCCGCAGCGGCCTATCCGAATAACTCCGACAGCTGAGGCGTGTGTGCCCTGCTGTTGGGCGGCTCCTTCGGCCGATGCTGGCTGGGATAGAAGGTCCCTGATCACGGCGTTGGTGACGTTGTAAGGGTTGATTGGGAAATTTGGGGGGTATCATTGGCCAAAGAGAAGATCTCGAACATTGGGACGGGCCGGTGTCGAGGTGAGCACGGCTATGCTACCAAAGAATGCATGTTGTGCCTGTTATAAGATACACAATTGCACGTGATAAGCTCAAGGTATGAATTCATGAGTAACGATCATTTGCTTCTTGCCTGGGCTGGTAGAATGCTGATAATCGACGAGATATGAGAGGCTGGTAAGATGCACACGATATGTTAGCCGGGGGGGGGACCGGAGGTGTGGAGAGTGGGCCGGTGTATTATTTGTGTGAAATGTGCCGAGATATGAATGCCGGGCCGGTGCCGCGCCGGCGCCCCGAGTGTCCGCGTGCCGAGATCGCCGTTACCCTTCCGTCGGCTCTGCGGTGCGTTCGGACGACGGAGGGTCCGTGCGCGCCCTCTTACCATACACCGGACATATGACAGGGTTTGATATAAGCATAACCGCTTGGGAAGGACAGCGCTTGGACGCCTTCTCCTCTTGCTATCATCGAATCACTGCTGCACGACATCTGTAACTGCCAACAATGCCGGAACCTGTACCTGGGCCTCGTACTCTCTATGACAAGGTGCGTTTAGTCTCGTGTCCCCTCGCAGCGCGTAGCTGAGCATCCCAAGATCTGGGATAACCACGTCGTACACACCCAGGAGGATGGTACCACCATCTTGTACATCGACAGGCACATCATCCATGAGGTCTCCACCCCGCAAGCCTTCGACGGGCTCAACGAAGCTGGCAGGCGTGTGCGCAGACCGGAGAGCACCCTTGGCACCGTAGACCACAATACTCCCACCGCCAACAGGGAGAAGTATACGGACGACGAGAGCTTCATAAACGATGTTGAGGCGAGGCACCAGGTCGTGCTTATGGAGAAGAACTGCCAAGAACACGGTGTCGTGTACTTCTCTTTGGCAGATAAGAGACAAGGGATTTGTCATGTGCGTGCAATACATATCTCAATACGCACTCTTACTCACGGCATATCTCTTAGATCGTCGGTCCCGAGCAGGGCTTCACTCTCCCCGGATGCACGGTCGTCTGCGGCGACTCCCACACCTCCACGCACGGCGCATTCGGCGCCATTGCCTTCGGCATCGGCACGACCGAGGTTCAGCACGTGCTCGCCACACAATGCTCTTACCAGCGTCACAGCAAGAACATGAAGATCCAGATCGACGGTGTCCTCCACCCATACGTCACCTCCAAGGATCTTATCCTCCATGTCATCGGGGTGATCGGCACTGCGGGCGGGACGGGTCATGCGATCGAGTACTGCGGGAGCACAGTGGAGGCTATGAGCATGGAGGCGCGTATGAGTATGTGCAACATGAGCATCGAGGCTGGTGCCCGCTGTGGAGTCGTCAAGCCCGACCAGACGACGTACGCGTACATCAAGGGCCGTCCGCTGGCGCCCAAGGGCCAGAAGTGGGACGAAGCGGTCAAGTTCTGGGATTCGCTTGCCAGCGATCCAAACGCAAAGTGGGACGCGGAAGTCTTCATCAAGGCGGAAGATATTGCGCCTACGATCACCTGGGGCACATCGCCCCAGGAGGTCGCCCCCGTCACCGGTATGGTTCCCTACCCAGCGAACGCCGAGACGGAGCAGAGGCGGAAGGCGATGGAGCGGATGTTAGAGTACATGGGTTTGACAGCCGGTACACCGATCGAAGAGATCAAGGTGGACAAGGTGTTCATCGGCTCTTGCACCAACAGCCGTATCGAGGATCTGAGGAACGCTGCGGCCGTCGCCAACGGCAGGAAGGTCGCCGCGGGTGTGTACGCTATGGTTGTCCCCGGATCGGGAAACATCAAGCTGCAGGCAGAGGCGGAGGGGCTCGACAGAATCTTCAAAGCTGCTGGGTTCGATTGGCGTGAAGCAGGGTGCAGCATGTGCCTCGCTATGAACGAGGACAAGCTTCAACCGGGCGAGCGTTGCGCGAGCACAAGCAACAGGAACTTCGAAGGCCGGCAGGGCACGGGCGGCCGAACGCATCTCATGTCTCCTGCTATGGCCGCCGCCGCTGCTGTCAGCGGACACGTGACGGACGTGCGCGAACTCCCTGCTGTGCCACAGGGGAGCGCACTACCCAAGGTAGAGGTTGGCGAGGCGCACCCTTTTGCCCCTCTTGCGCACACGTTCGGTGAGAAGGTGGCTGAGGCGGTCAAGGCTGGCAAGCAGGTACCGGCTCCCCTGCACAAGCACGAGGATGTTAAGGGTGGTATTCCGAAGTTTGGAGTAGACGGTGTGCTCACAGGCATCGCTGCTCCCATGGATAAAAGCAATGTCGACACGGACCAGGTCTTGCCCAAGGAGTATCTGAAGAAGATCAGCAAGAAGGGTCTCGCGGAGGGTCTCTTCCGCCCTATGCGCTTCGACGCTATGACTGGCAAGGAGATCACAGACTTTGTTCTTAACAAAGACCCATGGCGCAAGTCACAAATCCTCGTCGCCCGCTACAACTTCGGCTGTGGTTCTTCTCGAGAGCACGCGCCTTGGGCACTCCAGGACTTTGGCTTCCGTGCATTCATTGCTGAAAGCTACGGCGAGATCTTCTACAACAACAGCACGAAGAACGGGCTTCTCCCCGTTGTACTCACCAAGGATCAGGTCGAGCTGTGCATTCAGGATGCTGCTGCCGGTAAGGAAATCACTGTCGATCTCCCGAACCAGGTCGTCGTCCTCCAGAGTGGGGAGAAGTTCCCATTCAACGTCAATCCCTTCATCAAGCACTGCCTGCTTGAGGGCCTCGACGATATCTCTCTCACATTCATGCACCTGAAGGAGATCGAGGCTTATGAGGAGACGCGCAAACAACGCTATCCCTGGCTGGATGGGAACGGCTACCTCCAGACGGACGAGCTTGGTCGCATCCGCGTCCTTCATGAGGGTGTTGCGGACTGGTGACGAGGCCGACGGCGCTTTCAGCGCGTACAATACTTGTTTGTTCTGTTTAGATTTCTGGCATCGATTAGGCAATTAGGCGAAATATGCACTGTGTTTGGAATCATCTGGCAGCTGAAATCAGAGTGTTACATTGCCCTGACTTTGTCGGCACCATTTTTAGGGAAAGCAGGCCTTGTCCTATTTTTGGAGGATGACAACTACGTAATGTTGATTATCCGACTAAAATCACGTGACTGCCCACCAGAGGAACCAAACACATCCGATTTGCACCGGACATACTAAGGAAGTCGTAATCAGCCTCCGCGTAATTAGTTCCCGCAGCTCTCACTTCAGTGAGGCGCTCATCCCGCCCCTTCGAAACAGCCCCTTGCGCATGCAGCCCCTGTGTGCCCAACATACTGAAACAGAGTGCCCGCACCATCCCCATCATCGCGCCTCAACCCCAATCAGTCATCAGCACTGTGACCTTGCTAAACCTCCTCATCAACGACCCAGGATGCACCCCCCCTCCCCCGGAAGACGCCCAAGACCGTCAACAAGAACGAGAAAGTCAATAAGTGGGACCTCCTGACATACGAGGAGTGTGTCACAATCCTTGCGAAGTAGTAAGTAGCGAGCATGTCCTCTGCCTCATGTGCTGAACTAACTCTGCACAGTGATCGGCTGGCTGGCTAGCACGCATGAGAGGGGGTGTCGGCTTCACAAACCCGCTCTCCACAAGAAAGCTTACCCGGTAGTGAGCGTCAGGCCCGGAAACGCCAGCAAGCGATACGAATATCGCCTGCATACGATTGCATGGCTGGCGAAGGATCCGACCAACAAGGTCGATCCAGCTCTCCAGACATCGCACCTTTGTGCTAACCTTCCTTGCTTCAACAAGGACCATCTTGTCCGTGAGACAGCCTTGGTGAGTGCATGCAAATACATGAACTATGCTAACGGTTCCCTCCCTAGATGAACTTGGAGCGCCAACGGTGCATCTGTTGGGGTCGCCGACCTTGCATCGACTCCGTCCCCGGACGGATCTGCCCACATGGCCCCAACCACTGCATTCTCCGACTTCGACAGACCTCCCGACCTGCTGCGAGAACTGCGTGGCGGGGC